GCAAGCTGCTTGCTCAGAAAGTTCCCACACTACCCATGTGCATGGATACACAACACACAGAAGCAACAACAAGGCAACAATGAAGGAATGGGAGGAAGGGAGTGGTTGGGGAGTCTGGGGCACCCTAGGGCAGGGTGCTGAACCCTGACAGTCCCCACTGAGTTTTGCCCTATCTCCATCAGAGTCTGCATGTCAGTTCGCGCATAAGAATCTCCCCGGGAAACTAGTCATTGTTAAAGCTGGGGAGCCAACCCAGCTGGCGATAAGGCCTTATATACATGAGTTCTGCAACTCATAAGAGTGTGGCTACATTGGGAATACATGGTAGCCGATATAGAAGTGACTGTCAGGGTTGTGTGTGCTCACAACGAAGGATGCCCCAGAAACCTAATTGATATCAAAGCTGGGGGACATGCCCATCCCAGCACACAGTCATATATACACGGTAGAGGCAGTAACTAGTCAACTAGCTAATAACTGGTAGTATCGGATCAAGAAGGATAGAAGATCATGCAGCGTCATAACCGACAGCTGCAGATCAGATCAGATTGGAGATGAAGAAGAAGAAAAGAAGTAGAAGCTGATGGAGATATGGGTCATGTGGCAATGCACTACTTACACTAGCGACCCGAAGGCATGCCCTGACAGCGACATGAGATAGGAGAATAGATCATGTGGATGAGGGGGCGATAACGGGTAAGGGGTGATGCGATAGCAGAAATAGCACATTGAATACAACCTGTGTTCTAACTATGGCAAATCACACACAGATATCGGCTTACAGGTACTCAACCTATCCAGATAGGGGTCCAGGCCAGCCGAATAACTGTCCGTTCCCTGACAATCTCCAACAGGCCTGCTCCATCCACAAGTTTGCTCAAAGTCCACTGTAAGTCTCTGCTCCACAAATAAGGGAACTCCCCCAGATGTCAAGCTCAGGGCACAGCACTCCCCTTGAGTTGCTGAGGCTGCAATCCCATTCTGCCAACACTGAACAGCACTTCCAGACACACCACTTGCTTCCACCCATACCTCTGCACATGCACACTCTGACAGATGGTATTCATGACTTTCTTATGTGATGCTTTCATATCACTTTCAACTTAAGGGTAACATGTAATTAACCATTATGCCCCCAATTGTCATTGTTGTACCAAGAATCCTAATTTATGATCAATCACAATGATTCTTGGGAAGACTCATAGTGATTCCTGAAGGTCCCTGGGGGTCCATGAGGGTCCATGATCCTTTATGAAGCCCCATGAAGGCTCATGACACTTCATGACACTTCATAGACAGGCATGTAACCACTCAACACCTGCCTGGAAGAACCACTTAAGTCATGAGCAATCATGACCCCCCATGCAGGTTCATGACATCTCATGAAATTCCATGATGGTTTGTCATGAACCAGCATGACTGTGTATGACACTTCATGCTGCTTCATGAAGTTTGGTGACCATTCATGAAATGTCATGACTTCCATGGCAGTTCATGAACCACCATTACACTTTTTGCAAGTTACTGGACCCGCAGATGGATGGACAGATGGAGCGGGTAAACCAGGAGATAGAAGCCTACCTCCAAGTGTTTGTTAACCACTGCCAGGATGACTGGGCGGACTGGCTCCCACTAGTAGAGTTCTCCCATAATAACCACATCCATGCCTCGACCCACCACACCCCCTTTGAGCTCGACACAGGCCAACACCCCAGGATGGGGATGCAACCCACTCATGCATCAGAAGTCAAAGCTGCAGATGCGTTCACCTCAAGACTGATGAAAATGCAGGAAGAGGCAAAGGCGGTGCTAGAGCATGCAGCAGAAGAGATGGCCCACTACTACAACCGAAACTGAGAAGTAGCACCCAAGTACAAAGAAGGCGATCAAGTCTGGCTCAGCACCCAAAACTACACCACAGACCGCCCTACCAAGAAGCTAGACCACAAATGGACCAGCCCCTTCAAAATCCTCAAGGTCGTATCCCCCACCACTGTCAAACTCCAGCTCACAGTGCGACAAAGGGGAGTCCACCCAGTGGTATTGGTAATGAACATCCGGCCCTACCACCCAGATGGGATCGCTGAACAACCCGCCGACCCCCACCCAGGCCCCAAAATTGTAGATGGAGGAGAAGAGTACAAAGTCGAGAAGGTCCTCAACTCCTGCTGGTGCTGCAGTGTCAGGGCACACCCGCCTGACCCTGCGCCGCACCCCATGCTGTACTGCCCTACTCCACTTCCCACACTATCACCCCCCACCTCTCCTTTCTCATTTTCCCCCTTTCTCTCTATTTCTATTCTACGGTCGATTTCCCTTTTCTCCATGTACCACTACATACCTAACCCCGCTCCCCTGATTGCCACATGCGCTGCAAGAGGGCTCGCGGCTCTCTATGCCGACACAGCTCGTGGGGGACAAACTCTCCAAACTCCTACTTCCTTGACTGAACTTCACTTGACTCGATCCTTAAACTCCGTGTGGGTTCTCCGGGATTTCCGCAAGGTCCGGGCTCAGTGTCCACTACTCACTCGTTGTGAGCTAGATCACTGCCCTTATTCCTACTGTTGGAATTCCACACACTCACACCCTCTCTAGCGCGTCCTAGCACCTTAGAGAAAATTGGGGGAGGGGAGAACTTCTTTTCAAAAATCCGGTATGTACAGGATTATAAGAAATAATTATTTTTAGAAATAATAGATGGGAAATATTGATGCCATATGGCACCTGCATACCTTATTAGGCGAAATAATAAAAAGGGAAACAGTAACAATAAAAGAATATCAATCAATATCTGAAATGATGGCAAAATATGAAAATTTCAGGAAATAAGCGATTTCTCAGCGGATTTATGGAATTAAGAGCCGAAATTGGAAATAAAGCCGGAGATAAATTTCACACAGCCAATATGCATTTTTACCAATTTATTAGACGTCGTGGGAACGAGTGAGGCTGGAATTCTGGGTTGCCGCTTGAGATTCCCACGCCCGCACATGCCCGTGCCTAACTTGCCCAACATAGAACTCCATCAAATCTCCACCGATTAGGACGTTCTTGGTATCGATGGGATCGTAGGAATTAGTACTATTTTTAGATACCAAATTCCGTACCGAGTTGTCGCATGAATGGAAGTGGTTTTATAGTCGTGAAAACGGGTATCCGAGCCGAGTCTGTGCGTGAGCGATTATCCCGCCTACAGCACCGCACACACTCCTGCCTACGGAGTGGCCACCTCCGGGATCTCCCATGGAGACACCTGGGGAGGTGCAGCTGTGTGCGGAGATGACATGGCTTCCTCCATGTGACCCTGACCGCATGTATATAATAGCGCCTGGGGTGGGAACAGAAGAAGCAGCCTTCTTCTCAACTTCCCACTTCAGGTAAGTACTGTAGCTTCTCCCCTTTAATGATAATCCAACTTCCCACTTCAGACTAAGTGGTCGGGGACGCTCACCCTGCAACAGGACCGCCACTATGCATAGCCGACATCTGTCCCATCGAGTCCCTCGTGCCGGGACCTTGCTGCTTTTGGAGCTGTCCCTGACATAGATCCAGTTCACTTCTTTGGACTCGGCTCCGAGGTCCCCAACTTCATCGACCCTCCTCCTGCTGATCCTCCTCGTTCAACTCTGCTTCCAGTAGCAAGCCTCCAAAGGACAACAAGAAGTCCGATGCCAGCTCCGCCAAGCCGGATCTTTTGTTAAAACTCGGAGACAATGGCAAGCTCACACCACAAGAGCGTAAGCGTCGTCTTGACAAGAAACTTTGCATGTTCTGTGGTCAGTCTGGCCATATGGTCAAGGACTGCCCTAAGTCTTCTTCTTGCATGTCTAAGGCCTGCACAGCCCAGACCGAGGTGCAAGGATCCGCTTCTGCAGAGGCAAAAAATTAGTCCGCACCCCTGTGGACTCCACATGGACCGGAGGTTGCAATTCTTCCCTCCATGTGCTCAAAGAAGTACGCCTAAATGCGTCTTCCACTTCCGACTTGTCCTCCCTCCACATTCCCATTTCTTTTTCTCTTTCTGATGGTCTATTTCCTCCTTCTAATGTTGACCCTTTGGTTGATGTTCTACCTGTTGTAGATAGTGTTGCTGATGTATCACTTTCTCCTCCTCCTCCTCCACCTCTGACTACTTCTGTAGATTGTTCCATCTCTCTTCTCTTCTCTTCTCTCTCTTCTCCTGTTTCTTCTTCCCTGTCCGATGTAAGGACAAAAAATAAACTCTTCCGCACCTATGAGAATGTCCCCACACTCGTAGACTCTGGGTCTTCGGACTGCTTCATTGACAATAAATCTGTGAAGAAGTTGGCCCTGAGACATATCAGATTAAACCCCTGCAACTATGCCTTTTCGACGGTAGCACCAACTCAATCATAACCTGCGCTGTTGATATTCCCCTCCGCTTCGCTTCCAGAAACATCACCCCCACAACTTTCTTTGTCACATCGCTGGATGGATCTTGTTCTCTAGTCCTAGGACACAACTGGCTTACCCGCTACAATCCGTTGATTGACTGGGTCTCAAGCAGTATTACGTTCCAAACTTCCAAACCTACCAGGACAGTTACTCCGAGCTCTCCCCCATTGTCTCTGGCACCATTGCCATCGTCCAACATCCAACCATCTGATGTTCCACTAGCACCTCAGCACCAGGCTCCTATTCCTCTGTTACCATCTATCGAGTTCGTCAGCTGTTCCGCATTTGCGAAGGCTTGTCGACTTGAAGGATCGGTATCCTTCAGCCTGACCATCCCTTCCGAGGACAGCCACTTGAGGGCTGCCTCCTCCCACACCGACTCTGTTGACCTTTTGGCCATTCTGAAGGAGTACCACGAGTTCACAGATGTGTTCAGCAAGAGCAAAGCCTCAATGCTAGCACCGCACCGTGACCACGACCTGAAGATCAACCTTGAGGAAGGCACTTCACCACCCTTGGGAACTATGTATTCCCTCTCTACTTCGGAACTCGAGGCTCTCCAGGCATTCTTAGATGAACACCTAGCCTCCGGGTTCATTTGTCCCACTACTTCCACTCATGCGGCACTGGTCCTCTTCATCTGCAAAAAGGATGGATCCCTCCGACTTTGCGTTGACTTCCGAGGGCTGAACAAGATCACCAAGAAAGATCGCTACCCACTTCCCTGCATGGCAGACCTCCTTGATGCACTGTCAGGGCACACCCTGACATGCCCTGCCCAACCCCGCTCCGCTTCCCCACTCCACACTGCATCTTCTTTCTTTCCTCCTTCTTTCTTCTCTCTTTCTTCTTTCTTTCTCTCTCTTACATGGACCACCTTTCCCACTGTTCAATGTATCACCAGTGTGCATGCCCTTTCCCCCTCCTGTATCTTACCATCCCTATATCACGGTCACCGCCACCACGCTCACCTCGCACCTGCAACAGACCCTCTCGGGATCTCCCACAGAGCCACCCAGAGAGCCATGGCTGTGTGCCAGGGTGATGTGGTGCACCCCATGTGATCGACCCCGCATGTATATAATAACAGCTGGAGTGGGAACTGAAGAAGTAGCCTTCTTCTCACATTCCCACTTCAGACTAAGTGGTTGGGGATGCTCACCCTGCGACAGGGCTGCTGCTATGCATAGCTGCCACTCGTCCCATCGAGTCCTGCACACTGGGACCTCACCGCTTTCAGAGCTGTCCCTGACATACACCTAGCTGTGCCACTGTCTATACCAGACTCGACCTCCGGCATGCTTACCACCTGGTTCGCATTGCAGCAGGCGACAAGTGGAAGGCTTCCTTCCGCACGTGCTATGGTTCCTACGAGTGGCTCATCATGCCATTCGGTCTCACAAATACACCTGTGGCCTTCTGTCATGACCCGGCGTTCCCCGGGGCCAGACGACCTCCTCCCTGACCCTCTCCCACACCCGAACACTCCCCACACACTCCGCTCGCCGCCCGTCGCCGTCTAACCACTTCCCGCCACCTCTCCACAACCCCTCTCTTGATTGTCGTTGAACGACCTAGCGGTGCAGAGCGCCGCGACCTGTTGTTCCATGCTTCGCTGCACCTTGTTACCTCGCGGCGAAGGTCACGCTTGACCTTCGCTGTCGTGAACACGTGCTCTTTGTTTGTTTTCCTCTTTCCTTTCTCCGCCCGCAATCTCCGCGAGATCTGGCGACTTATTCCCCATTCAGTTCCCTAGCGCTTATATACAGCTTGTAGCTAATGCTTGTACTGTAGTTCGAAATCAACTAGAATTACCCCCTAGAGCTTACCTCTGTCCCCACGAGACCTCTGACCTTCTAAGTATCGGGACCGCGTCGAGAACGAGGCGCAACGCTCCTCCTAGAGTCGTTGAAGCCGAAATCCCGGCTCACTCGCCTAAGTAGCCTCGGCCTCGAGATCGGTGGGGTTTATTCCTCGCTAAAGCTCGGTCGGGTGTAGGACGCCTTTACCACTAGCGGGCAACGCTCAGTCGCCTACGGCTACCCTCGGCGAACCTTCCTATGGTTCTGACACCTTCCAGTAATTTGTCAACATGATCTTTGCCGACCTCTTGGACGTTTCTGTGGTAGTCTACCTAGACGACATCCTTACCTACTCAGAAGACATGGCTTCACACCAGGAGCATGTCTGAGAAGTCCTTAGGAGACTCTGCAAACATGGCCTATATGCCAATCCGAAGAGATGCAAATTTCATACAGACACTGCGGAATATCTCGGATACTGCCTTTCTCCCTCTGGACTCACCATGTCCATCGAGAAGGTCAAAGCTGTCCAAGATTGGCCTGAGCCCCGTAAAGTCAAGGATGTCCAGTCCTTCCTTGGCTTCGCTAACTTCTATCGGTGTTTCATCCACCAATACTCTGACATTGTGGTCCCTTTGATGTGCCTCATGTGTAAAGGAGCCCCCTGGTTATTATCCAACGACTGTCGTTCTGCTTTCAACACTCTGAAAGAAGCCTTCATGTCCACTCCCATCCTGATGCATTGGGTACCCGATGCCCCTCTCATTGTAGAAACTGACGCCTCTGATTACACAATCTCCGGAATCCTGTCCATCATTGCGATGTCGGAGAGATTCGCCCCATTGCTTTCCACTCTAGAACACTCTCAGTGTCATATCCATCCCCGGCCATCGACTTCCACTCCCCCAATCCCTCCGTTCTACCTCCGCTCCTTCTTCACTAACCTCGGAGCTCCCGCATTCCACAATCACCTCGGTACCCCTTGATGGTCACCACCCCCTCTTTTCAATTTATTACCTATGCCTCCCTAAGTACGGAACCCCAAAGGCTTCCGGACAGCTCCGACGTCCGCTAGCACACCCCCGCCTCCGCTGGGCAATACACTCACTTGCCCTGCAAGCCCATCTTCGGGCCTATCCCTCCTTTCTGTTTCTGGGTTATCGCCTACCATTCCGTTAACCCCGTAAGCCGACTCGTCAGTAACATTCAATCAGCTAATCTCTAATCCCGTTAGCTCCGCTCCACTTGGCTCTGCCATTTGCGGACCCACCCTCGTTGTAACTATATATATACTCAACTTGTACATAGGTTACACCTCAGTAATAAAATCGACTAGAGTTTACCCCCTTCAGTTCTGGTTGCCAGTTTAGTAAGTTAGGGCACAGATGTGTTACTTGGCACAGTGCTCCTGGCATAAGTCACTGAGGCCGAAGCCCTCCACCATGGAGACACTCCCTCGTCTCAACCTGGTCTCTGACACTCAGTGCCGGAGCTCAATTACGACACCCATGATAAGGAACTGCTCACCATTCACAATGCATTCCGATCATGGTTGTTAGAACTTGTGGATTTGGACGACTCCGGAGTGGAATCGGAGACTTAGCATGGAAGGACCTCAGCCTCAGCGACTCAGGTGGAGCGCTGTGCCATTGCTGGTTGTCCTGGGGGTGCCTAATTTCGGATCTAGCAGAGGGGAAGTCTCTTGGGGGAATTCCAGTCGATTTTGGACTGAGGTTACAAGTTACTATGTACATTGTATATAAGGAGGGGTCCGGAATCAAAAGGAGCGAGGGTACTCCGAAAGGAGACAAAGGGAGCTGGAAAGAGGAACAACACCAAGGGTCAAGGGTTTGACTCAATGATGTTTCCCAAAGGAGGAGTGAAGGGCGAAGGCCCAAGGAGGAAGGAAGGAGGTTGGGAGTGGGGAATGGCTAGCTGACTGAATAGAAAGGAAGCAGCAGCCCAAATAGGAATGAGGGAGAATAGCGGAATTGAATGGAGCAATGCAATAGTTGCAAGGTCCGACGTAAGTCCGGAAAGTCCGAACTCAGAAGTTAAACTCCGGAATATTGGCAAATGTAATTAAATGGAATGAGCTAACCAATACAATGGATATAAGCGGAGGTGGGGTCAAAGTCCGAGGTCGGAGCTAAGACCGGAGGTTCCGGAAACGGAGACGCAAATAGGATTCCGGAGCAGAGGCCCAGAGTCGGGAGCATAGGTGTTGCATACTCATCTGGAAGGTGTCGAGGTTGGGGTCGGGCCCGGAATGTTCCGGAGTCGGACCGAAGGGTGTATCAGAGCCGGAGGTGGGATAACCTCTTGGGAGTCGGCAAGGAGGAGGTGATGGAAGGGAAGTAGGACTCTGGAACTCAGGTTCGGAGTTCCGGGAGCCCGGAGTGGAGGTCGGGATTGTATGGATATGACAGTGGTGTCACTACCTTGAAGGTTCAGGAACCCCAATCGACGTCGTCACTGACCACAAGAACCTCGAGTATTTTTCTACCACCAACCTCTTGACCTGGTGGCAAGCCTGCTGGTCAGAGTTCCTCTCCCAATTCCACATGACTGTCCGATTCCATCCTGGAAGATTCAGAGTAAAACCAGATGCATTGACTAGACACTGGGATGTTGTCAGGGATGGTACAGGAGAGGCAGGGGTAGCAGCCCAGGCAGTGGCAGAGTAACAGGAATGTATGGCAAGAGGCCCTCACTTGGGCTCATGTGTCAGGGCATACACCCTGACCTAGCCCACACCCACACTTGCACCTGCATCCGCATGCACACCCAGCCGTTGTGTCAGGGACTCATCTGGGGTCGAGGGGGCCCAGGTGTAGCGTCCAGGGCTGAGAGCCTGGCAGGGGGCGGATTGGGCATGCATACTGACAGGCCCGATGCGGGACAGTGGTCCCTGGCCACTTAGACTGAAGTGGAAAGTTGAGAAGAAGGCTAGTTCTGTCAGGGCACACCTGCCTGACCCGGGTCCACCCGGACCCACCTGGCCACACCACACCTGCTCCCCGCTCTCCAACCCTCTCCCTCCTCCTTCCTCTGTCTCTCCTCCCCTTTCCTTTCTCTCTTTCTTCCCCTTTCTTTATCTCATTCCTCTCATCTTCCTTTTCTTGTTTATTTCCTTCTATCTACACGGACCACCTTCCTTTGTATCAATGTACTATTGACCCGTCCGGCCCACACACCCCAGATGGCTCCCCGCTGTGCCCAGCATGCGTGCATGCAGCGGACGCTCTCGGGATCCCCCGCGGGGATACCCAGATGCCTGTAGCTGTCTCCGAGGGTGACGTGGCACTTGTCATGTGACTCAAGCTGCATGTACATAAATGTACCTGAAGTGGGAACCGAAGAAGTAACCTTCTTCTCACATTCTCCACTTCAGGTAAGTAGTATAGTTTTCCCTTTTAATAACAATAACACATTCTCCACTTCAGTCTAAGTGGCCAGGGACTGCTGTCCCTTCCCGGACCCGCCAGCACGCACGCCCGGTTTGCACCCCGCAAGGGCCCTTCTGCCGGGCGATACATCCGGACCCCCTCTACCCCGGACACGTCCCTGACAAGTTCCCACTTCAGGTTCGTTTATATACATGTGGCTTAGATCACATAACAGGTGCCACGTCACCCTCGCACACAGCCGTAACCACCCGGGTGTCTCCATGGGAGATCCTGAGGGCATCTGGTGCAGGCACACGTACTGGGCACAGCAGGAAGTCACCCGAGGTGCCCGGGCCAGGTAACTGGGTACATGGTGGGCGCACTGCAGATGGGTCAATGGTACATTGATACAAAGAAGGTCGTCCATGTAGAATAAAGAGAAAATAAAGAAGAAGTAAGATAGGAGGAAAGTGAGGAAGGAAGGATGAGGTGAGAGGAAGGGAAAGAAGGAGGAGGTGAGGTGGGGTGGACTGTGGGGTACCAGGTCAGGTTGGGCCGGGTGGAGCCAGGTCAGGCAGGTGTGCCCTGACACGTTGCACCCCCTGCACACGCCCTGTGCCGGATGCTCCATGTGGCCAGATGCCCCAGGCCCCGGATCTCGGGCCTCATGTGACTTCCGATATCTCCGGAAGTTTTTGATTATATTGGGCCACTGTGGGAAGGTGAGAAGTTAGCTTCCTTCTCACCTTCTTACCCACAGCAGTGTGCCCTGGACAGGGCTGTGTCTGTTAGATCGGGTGGATTTGGACGACTCCAGAGTGGAATTGGAGACTTAGCATGAAGGACCTTGGCCTCAGTGACTCAGTGTCAGGGGACGGACCCCGGGTCCCCATGACCCCTCTCTACAGTCCACAGTCTAGCCTGTAAACACAGCCCATCTCAGGGCATAACTACTGTGGGTAAGAAAGTGGTATAAACAAAGGGGCAAGTAGATACACTTGCCTACTGTGGGTAAGAAAGTGAGAAGAAGGTTAACTTCTCACTTTCCCACAGTGGCCCCAATATGGCGAAAACTTCCGGGGATACCCGGAAGTCACATGAAGGGTGGGAACCGGGCCCGGAGCATGCGGCGTGCAGAGCGTGCAGGGCAGAGGCGCACATGCGGGTCCAGGTGCGGGTCCGGATGCGGGTCCGGGTCCGGGCTAGTCAGGGTGTGTGCCCTGACACTCAGGTGG